GAGTGGTTGGTGGACAGACTCTTTAAAGAGCCCGTACCCTCAGCTCCCTGTGCTGGCAGTTCTCTGACATTATCTCCACCGCAATGCAATGGGATCTCCACCTCAGAGAGATTTGCCATTCATCATGAGAGTGTGTCAGACAGAGGAGGGAGGGAGGGAGGGAGGAGGAGAGAGAGGGGGAGAGAGGGGGAGGGAGAGGGGGAGAGAGGGGGAGATAATGAAGTTCCCAATTCTCCCTCTAATCCACACTGTTTTTCAGAGAACTGGAGCTGTTTTCTGGTTTAGAAAGACAGAGGCATGCTTCAGTTATTGTCTAGATAGAAAGTTGTAGTAAATCAGTCTGATTCTGTTCAGCAGCTCTGGGAACAGGAAGGACACAGAGTTGGAAAGAATCCCCGACCTTCTCCAAATATGTAGAAATGCTGCAACAATATAAATATCTCACAGTAGTCCAACAGTTCAATCATATTGTCAGGCTCGTTGGCCCTGCCAATATTGACAGGATGGCCACGCCTGCGTCTCCCGGTGCCTGAGCGTTCGTCCATGACGGTGTGGGACAGAATCAATGCCGATCCAGTCAGTTAAACTCCTCTGACTAAGAATATAAATAGTTAAGTTTTGTGTTGACTTCAGATTTATGACTAAGGCATGTTCGTTTTGGCAGTGTTTTTATTTGAGCCTGTGTAATGGATGAACGGGCCATTTATGCAACCAGAACAAAAAGATCAGTTCAGGCCAGACCTCCAGTTCTCTGGAACATTTGGTTCTCGCCAAGGTTCCTTTTTCTTTTCCTTCCATCCATGTTTTGTTCTTAAGGCAATCATACTGTTCCAGTTGTTTTTTATTTATTCTGAATGTTAAGCTGTCTCTCTCTTCATATCTGTTTTTCTAAAATAGATTGTTGGAAGAATTTAATTTATTATCATTGCTTCATGCTGTACTGTCACTTTAAGGAACTGTTGGCTTCTCATATTATAATCTAGTGTGCTCAAGACTGATGGAGAAGTTACCAGACACATTCACACCCACCTTCTTACTCCATACCCATTCATATACTCACACACGATCACATGATATGTAATCTGATACTTTAGTAAATTAAATAACAGAGCAGAGAAATGGTGCAGCAACTGGGAGTTGATGAGGAAGCTGCCAGCACAGCAAGCTGCACTCTCCCCTTGCAAGTAAAAGATCCAGACGTCTTTTGTGTTGTTACTTTGTCGTCACATATGTTAGAATAAACCTAACATAAATTGGTCCTTCGAGCTGGACGCCAACAAATTAAGCAGAACCTAAGGATCGGGTGAAAACTGTGCACGGCCAGAACCAGGTTCTGGGGAAAGACCTGGGGAGTGAATTCTCACTCAGGCCAGTTCTCCGATACCTGATCCTGGGCTGCTGATTGACGGCATCTGATACCAGAATAAGATCGATGACGAGGGTGAGAAACAACTTTTTATTACCAGCGCGTGGTTGAAAAAACGGGTTGGAGTCAAAATAATCTTAAAGCAGCTCTACTCTCCGGGGGAGAAACATAAGAGACAACCACTCCCTGATGGAGCAGGAGGTGAACCATGGTCTGATGACTTATTAAAACTGTTCACAGTCTGTATTAATGACTCAGGTTTCCATCTGTTTGTGTTTGTGGGAAGGTGAACAGAGGGAAAACCACTGATTCATCCCCAACCCTGTTGTCAGCAGATGCTCCTCTTTGATAGGGGGGGGTACAGCTATTCACCAACCTATTTTACTGATAACTCCTTTCACTCTATTGATATGAAAAGCAAAAAAAAAAAAAAACATGTTCCAGAAAATACTGACGTGTTCCCATTGGACAGTAATGACTGCCAATCACTGAGAGCAGGATGGTCATTGGTTCTCACCCCTACTCTGGCAGATGACATTAACTTCATGGTCGTTTGTCATTCTCCTCACCTGTTGGAGGGTGTGTGTCATGGAGCTACCACTCATTTTAAGCTCTCTTTTAACCTGGACAACGAAAAAACAACAACCTTCGTTCATTGATTTGTTGTGTGTTGTTCCAGTGTCAGGACTAGCGCTGCTCCTGCAGCTCCTGATCTGATCTTCTTGTTCTGGTTGAACAATTGAAGACGAGCTCTTGTGTCTCAGTGGGACCAACCTGGTCAGATAAATAAGACAATGTGAACCTGTGATGGTCTGGAAACCTTTCAGTGGTCTGACCTATTGACAACTGACGACCCAGACTCTGATGAGCTGTGAAGGTGATGCAGTCCGGCTGTACTGAGCTCAGAGAACAGGAGGAGATCTGTGGTGCTTGTCACGGTAGTAGTTTGAATATATACAGTGTACTTTGAAGGTCTGACGAGGCTGCAGCTGCAGCTCTGCAGTGACTGGTCGTTCCTCAGCTCCCTCCCACCGTCTGCCCAGGCTGGTGTTAGGATAATTAGAGACTATAAACCCGTGTGTGTTGCAGTTGTCTCCTCTGTAGATGGAGAGATTGCGATGCGTCTGTCCTGACCTGCCGTCTTTTATCTGATGTCCCCTGGGATTAATTCTCTTCCCCTGTGACCTGTGATGAGATAAAGTGGTAGAAGATGGATGATTATAAAGCCGCCCTGCTCCTTAATACTGCCATTGAATGTAAGGGGATTGAAACTCTACAAACTAAGTGGAGTCTGTATCAGATCTGGGCAACCTAAGGCCCGTGGTCCAGATATGGCCCACTGGGCTTTATAATCTGGCCCGCCCAACACTGGTACAAGGTATGGTAAAGACTGATGACGATCCTTCATGTTTCATGTAATAAAACAGCTGTAATCAACTGTAATTTGTGTTGATGCCACTAGATGGCGGTAGACATCAAATCATCCAAGTGATCTTTGAAAGTTTAGGTTCATTCTTATACATTTTATTTCATCCATTTATCATTCTACATCCAACCAGTACTGAACCGGCCCGACAGTCACATTTTAAACCTCGTTTCGGCCCGTGAGCCACAATGTTAGCCCACCATGATCTATACTAATGTTCACTGGATGGTACAGAGGTTTAATTGCCTTCTTGTGGGTTGAGTAATTAATACTTTTTATTCTAGTCAGAACATGATTCATTAATGGTTGAGAAGGGTGGTGACCTATTGACCTCAGAGTGAGCACCATCTTTTCCTTCCTGAGGTCAAACCGTTCAATAAATGTTAATCCTGTTTCGCCCACAACTTTGTTTGTTGTTTTAAATTGTAGCCCTGTTGGTGACTGGTTCTATATCCAGAACCGTGTTCCTCTGAAGTGTCGCTGCAGCCCTGCTTCACGCCACCGTAGTAAATCTTCCCGTGAATGAAAGCACGCGAGTCGTCGAGCGTCACGTGTGACTGCAGCGCCGTGACCACGTCTGATGGATTGGTTTTCTGTGTTCACTTGGATCGGTTTCTTGGAACTGTTGAATATCAGATGTCATGTCTTTGAACTTTGAACTCATTGGACTCTTCTTTACTGATTCTGACTGTGCCAGTTGGAGTCTGTGTGTGTGTGTGAGAGTGTGTGTGTGTTGAGAAGAAAGCGCTGCAGGGTGAGTGAGAGAGTGGTGCAAATAAAGAGACAGAATGTGAAGTGAGAAACTAATAAAAGAGGAGGAGACAGAGAGGGAGAGCAAATGGGAGCCCGTGTGTGTCACTCTCTCTGGCAGTTATTTGCACAAATAAGTCATAGAACTGGAGTGTGTCGTATGCCGGCAGCTGGAGCTGTGTTGTGACAGGTGTCCTACACTGTGACTGAAACAGGACAATAGGCAGCATCTCATTAGATGCACACCGCCTCCTACAGGTGGAGCCATCTGTCACCTTCAAGCTCTCTGATGGATCACCTGCTCTCACTGCCATCATTACGGTGGTGGCGTTCGCCTTCACCCCTGATGTTAATTTAAGGAAAACGCCGCAGCCGAGGTGAAGTCGGATAAGGCCCGTGGCACAGGACCGATCTAAAGGACAGAACTGATTAGAACTGATCAACTGACGGTCTTCAGTCACTGATATTACAGACATCGTTTCACACTCACGCTGTCAAAGGGTGACAGTTAAACTCTACTATTTTTGTTCGTGTCACTGAACTCAGGAGTTATACCAGGGCTGATACGTGTCAAACGGATAGAAAGATGAGTTGAAGACAGCGGTGAGATCTGCTGTGATGTACGACTGGCAGACATGCTTCTAGATGTAATCCAAGAGATGATGTGCTGGATGTGTCACAGAGGTTTTGCTGTGAGTGACCGGGAAGAACAGGATTAGAAGTGAGCTCATCACAGGGACAGCTGAGGTGAGATAACGAGACAGAGAGACAGAGAGAGAGAGACAGAGAGACTATTCAAAACTTAAAATATAAAAATATTTCCATTTTGTGTAGTATCGAACTATCAAAACACTAATATCATTGTAGTATAATGTTTTATTTGTGTGAACTACTACCAGATCATTTTATTTGTGTTTTTTGTTCATTATTTTATTCCAGACTAAACTGTGTCTCCTGTATCCTGTGGACAGAACCTCTCAGGACCTGAACTGTGTCTGCGAAGATTTATAAACATCCAGCAAACTCCAGATCATTTTTTCAGTCCTTCAGAAAAACCATATTTTATTCCCCAACAAATCTGGTTCATTGTGAGAAGAAGCAGGAATAACAACAAACAGGTAAGAGATTTTCCTGTTCAATTTTTCTGTTTTGGTACACAACAAACAGGTAAGAGATTTTCCTGTTTCCCTACTTTTCTTTGTTTTGGTACCTAAGTTGGTTGGACTTTCTGGTCTGAATTTGTGCTGAAGTTTGTGGGGTTTTTTTTTTTAGAAAAAGGGAAAATCTCCAGCAGCAGTAAACAGAAAAACAAACAACAAAACGTACAAATTATTCCGACCATAGCTTGAATTTTCACATGTTTGTGTGTGGCATGAACATTGGCAGGTGAATTTACAGAAGCGTGTGTGTGTGTGTGTGTGAGCAGTTGGGAGGATGTGTGAAGTGTATGGTTGTGTTTACCACTGAGCAGAAAGCTTTAGTTACTGTCTCCTCAGGCTCGTATTATGCCATCAGGCCTGCTTTTTAAACGCACTTTCTCTACTGACATCACTGTCATTAGCGCCGACAGAGCTTCACTTAGGTGTGTGTGTGTGTGAGTGTGTGTGTGTGTGTGAGAGAGAGAGTGAGAGTGTGTGTTTTCCAGGCAGAGATGAAGTAAAAGACATAATTGTTGTAATTATCTGTGCTGTGCTTCTATGGGAGAAGCTGTGGCCACTGGAAGATCATCCCAGCGTGTAGTAAACACCAGCCTGTTTCATCCACCTCGACTTTGTTGCATTTCAGATCATTCAAAGTCAGACTGCTTCAATCTTCTGTAACTACAACTACAAACAAAAGTCATTGTCTTATAGAAATGAGCAATAACCGTTGCATATCAGTGCCGACTGCAACACAAATTGCCTCCCTCTTTTGCAATCGCTGCAGGTCCCCGCCCCCTACTTTGAGAACCTTTGGCAAACAGTGATAAATAGACATTGACATTTCTTACTCTGAGGTGATGGCTGGAAAAACAGAAAACAATTCATTGACGGTGATCATGTCATGCGACGTCACTGTTCATCTTTTCTCTTTTTCTATTTAAACACAACCGTCAGCTCTTTTATTCCAGCACGTGTTGAAAACATGGACGGCAGCGCGTCTGCGTCGTGCTCAGCTCTGGTACTCCACTCTCCTCCCACAGAACAAAGACTTCCAAATGTTGAGAGTTACTGCCATAAATAGTCCAGCTCCAAATTGTAGGTCAAAAAGGTCACACGTGCCTGCATGAATGATGCAGAAACAGTTTCACCAAACCGACAATAAAAAACCTTCAGCCTCGAATGATTGTTCTGTTTTTTTAACCAGTTTATTTTTTAAATATGCAAATTGACAGTGTAAATGTTTTTAGTGGATCGGAGAAATAAAAATTTAAAACTTCATCATTTTACTCATCATCTCAGTGAAATCCTTCTTGGTATCCATATATCTTCCAGTAACGTCAGTAACTATAGTATAAGGTGTGGTCTGCTACGGATTTGATCTGTTTGATGAATTTGGAAGTAAAAAAATGCATAAAAGACACAAACTCGAAATTCTAAATAAAATGTTATTCCTTAATCATCCCCTAGGGGCGTGTTGTGTTAATCAGAGTAGAAGAAGTTTCAGTAGCAAAAACAAAGTAGCCTTGATGTGACTAACTCCTTGAACATGCTGCTTCAGACACGGACGTCACTCAGTACAAGGTGTGACCTGATTGAATGGTTATCAGATCACGTTCTACTGCCAATAAAAATGGTCAAATAAATGAAATGCAGAACACTGGTGTAATCATGGACCACGGTGCAGGACAAAGTGTTTTCTGCGTCAAGGCTTTTACATTCTTGAATCAATTTTGTTTTTGCGCCTGATTGTTATTTACTTTGGTTCTCTGTCTATGCACGACCATCTGGAAATGATGAATTACTGCAGACTGAACATTTGAGCCCCCGATCCTGCAATGATTGTTGGAATAAAAGACCAAAACTCTGCAAAACGAATCTATCTATCTATCTATCTATCTATCTATCTATCTATCTATCTATCTATCTATCTATCTATCTATCTATCTATCTATCTATCTATCTATCTATCTATCTATCTATCTAATCTATCTAACGCTGATATAACAAAACCAGCAGCTGAAGATATTAATAGTTTTATGTTCTACGTTGATTCAGTGGCGGGCGACAGTACGACACGTCTGTGTTTAATGTCTGTTCCTGGAATCATGGCTGATAAAACACGGATCACTTTGGAGTTGGCCTGCACACGTGCATGCACGGTGCCATGTAATCAGCTGTGACTCGGTGTGATTGTAACTTGGTCGGTTGCACAGCTACATCTGTTAGTGACATAATCGCCTACATGAGTAAATCAGCGGGGCTTTAATGCATGAAGGGTTTGAGGCCATTTGTAAAACTCTCAGTTCTGCGCTCACGGCACCGTCACTTAGTCTTCTCACATCACTCTGGTTGGTTGCAGAAACAGAACGGCCTCTGGGGGAAACCATTTTAGCAGGGCAAGCATGGGCTAAAGCAGTGTTTTTCAACCTTAGGGTCGTGGCCCCACTTGGCATTGTCTGCAATTTAAATGGGTTCACCTGAAATGTCTAGTAATTGATTAAAAGAAAAAAGAAAAAAGACTGCTAAAGTATGTCTAGTAATTGATTAAAAGAAAAAAGACTGCTAAAGTAGTTTTAGCTCTGCATTTGCAACACAGTATCACAAACACGATCCAAAACTAATTCCAGAAAAAAAATGTCTCTTAGGTCACCAGAAATTTGTGATCTCAAAATAGGGGCCACAAGCCAAAAAACGTTGGGAAGTACTGGGCTAAAGTAAAGTAATAATCAAACAATTCTTCAACATATTGTCAATGTTGAGGTTGGATTCACCGAGGGGTAAAAATAGGTTGTTGACTTTGTTGTCGACGTACGCTCCATGCTCTACCACCAAACCCAAGAAAAAAAACCTGTTCCTGAAACTCCCGAAGTCTCAGTTATTCCTGGATGTTGATTGCCAGCAGAGTGAATGCCAATAAGGCTGTTACACAACAACAGCCGGAGGAGGATGTTGGATCAGAACACCGTGTGGCAAACAGCACACACACAATATGTTTCCTCTCATAATAGACGCGACTCTTTGAATCGACACGCTAGTGTCACTGTGCTGAATAAAACGGTTGACGACTAAATATAACTTCAGTCTCTGGAGGATGTTTGACTGCAACTGTAAAAATGTGGCTGTGGACAAAGAAGATGGTTCTGGTCAGAGGTCTGTTCCTTTATCAGTATCTCATGTTCCTAAAGACTAAGATGTTTTTCTTACTGAAGAGTATGAGAGTAAAGCGCTGCTGAACATCTCCATATTTTACCTGTGGGGAAAATACTCCTGAAACCGCCCTGAGAGGAAGTGAAAATGTTGCAGGTTCGACGCTGTGTGGGGACCGTACACGTTTCTTCTTTATGGCTTTAATTGTCTGTTTTTGTTGAATTGTTCTTTTTCGTTGGCGTCCCACAGCCCAGGTGTTAAACCATTTATTCATGAATCAATCTATCAGGACCCACTCCAGTCACGAGCCGCTCATTCTCTTCCCCTCAATTCAAATCAAATCAAACGCTCTTTCCAGCGATGATGGGATTATTGATTGGGCTGCCGTCGCTCTCAGACTCCGGCCGCGTTTTTCCATCAGGCTGCATTTGTGGATGACGGCAAAATTTTAGGAGCACGTACTTTTGCGCCGTGTTAAAGATCAGTCGGTCTTATTAAAACTTTTCTGTTGACGTTGACAATGAGAGTGTTTGTTTGGTACACACCAAACAAACGGCTGTTTGTGATGCTGGTTGACAAACTGGACAGTTGGTGTCGATAAATTGCGAAAAGATGATTTTGTTGTCGGTGTTTAGTTTGTGATGGCGAATGGTCAGAGAGTAGTCGTCGTAGTCTGGAACAAAACTGAGTGTGAGTGTGTGTGTGTGTGTGTGTGTTCCTCTCACATCAAAAAACTTCGTTGACACTAATTAAGCAGAAAAAACAGCCATCTGAATATCTGTAGCTTGTGATAAAACCACAACTTTTTTTTTTATCGAATTAAATTTTATTTTGCAGTAAACATGCAGATGTGTTTGGTCAATATTTACAGGGAAGCTTTCTGTTTCCAGATTTAATATTTGTCCGTCTCTCCGACTCCATCAGACTCATCAAAGAAATGCAAGTTTTAGGTTATTAACTGGTATTTCATGGTTTGACCTCATTTTAACTTCTCTCTAATGAATTCGTTTTTTTTGCTCTTAGTCTTTACTCATTATCTCTTGGAATTCCACATGTGCTGACGAGGTCTGATCATTAACGAAGTGTCAATCCTGGAGTACCATGTAGAAAAAGAAATTCTGTGATGGAAAATAGTTAAATTCTAAACCTAATAAACTGCCATAACAAAGGGCAGAAAGTCTGTGTTGATAAAATATGCTGCGCTCTGGTTTGTCTCAGTTACAGCTCAAAACTCTTGTATAGGTGGGAGTTAGTGAAAACACAGACGAAAGGAGGACGTTTGAGTTTGCAAAAGCAGGAGCAGGACAAGTGGAATTTTTTTTTCTTCCTGGCAAACAGGATGCAGGAGCCTCGGTCCAGCACCAGTCTGTGCTGACAGCCACTGCAGAAACAGCCTGAATTGTCCTCACACATTCACAGACTTAAAAATAAGTAGCTGCCCAATTGTGAAAGGACTGAGTTGCTAAAGTGGAGGGATTCTTTATTTTGGTGTTGTGTTTGTCGTTCTCACAACTTTGGTTTCTTATCATCACATCTGTCACCTGTAAAAATACAATCTGGGTCACCGTACATTGTAACTGCAACCAGGATTAGAAGTGATTAATGGTTTTCTTTGTGAAGTTTGTTGAGTGGTCTCACAGTCCACAGATTTCATCCACAGAATGTCCTACTGGTTCACTGAGGTGCACAGGCAAGTGGTTGCCTTCAAAATAAAAGCCTTGTACTTGTATTTTGTGTACCTATTACAGTATTTGGACTTTCAGAGACCAACATCTGGCCCACAGGCTGTACACTGACCAGGTCTGTTAAAGACAGTGACACTGTATATA